TTTAATTGGGCTAAATTGTCATTTTTTTGAGGGAGGGAGAGGAAGGTGTTGATGCGGGTGAGGGAGGAGGAGTAGTCAGAATAATTCCACAAATACCCAAATTGCCAGACACAATTATTAAGTATTCGTCAGAGAGTAGAAAAATTTTCGCCAATAAAATTCTTATTCAGAATTAGCAATCCAAAAGGGAAAAGATTAACTAATAAAGTTCAAGGGATAATTTTCCCTGCTATCATCCTACTTTTAAAGTTGGTTTTTTCTTGCCTGCTTTGACGGGTCAGAATTTGTTGTTCTTGCTCTAACTGTAAATTTAACCCCATACTTTCCACCAAAAAAGCGTTGTTTATTTCCTTGTTAATTAACCCATATTCTCGGGTTGTGGTTTGCTTGCTTAACTTTCCCAAACGAAAATTAGCCCTGTTGAATAAATAGATAATAATATTAATAAAAATTAACCAAAAAATTGTGAAAATAATCATTCCTGGTCCGACCTTCCATTCAGAGTGTCAAGCACTTCAAAATATTAAACCCAGATTAAAAGTCCCTTTATAAGCTTGGCATACTAAATTGACTCAATATTCCCCCACCAAATTGCTTTCAATTTCAACTAAACTATTAATTTCTTCTTTTCTTTTTAATTTTTCGGTTAAGGACAACCGCCGAAAGCGGCTCAACAAACGATTTTTGCTGTAATCGCTAACTATAATTGTTAGCCGCTCCACTTCCAAAGTAGAAAAATAAGTAAATAAGGAAAAAAGAGCCACTCAAGCTAAACCTAGGATAATGAACTGTTCTTTATTTAAAAATCAGGATTCTACTTGCAGGTAAGAGGGCAATAAAAGAGTGTAATTTTCAATGGTTTCTTTTTGGGCAAAAAGATTTCAACCAATTGCCATTAATCCATCAGTAAGAACAGTGGTTATGGTGGCTAAAATTAAGCATTTGACAAGCCGATATTTAAACTTACTAAATTGGATTTTGGTGGGCATTTATAATATAATTTTACCCCGCCGATTTTTCAAATATTCGGGTGCTAGAAGAAATTTTTTCTAATAATTCAAACCTTCAGTCTCAATTATTAGACTCACCAGCCGCAAATAAGGACTTTTGCGGCTTAAAAAGCCATTATTGCCGCCTCTTGCCTCGGCGGCGTGGCATCTGGTATCGACAGACCAGACAACTGTTCCCGCTCACTTTTTCGACTGAAAATAATTAGGAGTAATTGGGATTAGGAAACTAACTATTTCTGACTTTTAAGAATAAAATAATCAGGGATTATTTATTTCCTTAAAACTTGTCATCAATTTTCTCTATTTTCAAAGATTATTGTTGCTTTCTATGTAAGCTTTTAACTCTTTAGTTTCGTTGTCATAATGCTCTTTTTGAGTCTCATTTTGGCAATCATGAGAAATTTGCTCCATCATTTTCTTGTATTCCTCCAAAAAAGCACTTATTTCACCTTTCATTTTGGTCATTTCGGCATTTGAAATATTGTCGGCTATAATTCCGGCCGTAAGACCTGTCGCACCTCCACCTATACCTCCTGCTATGGCTCCTACCGTGGCAGCCGCCGGAGTAAATGCCAATGACAAACCAAATGTATATGGAGAAAGAAGAACCATCAAACCAGCTCCCGCTGCGGCTCCACCAGCAGCACCAGTTCCAGCTCCACTAACAGTTCCAATAATTTTTCCTTTATTGCTTTTCTCCACTAAAAGCCTTTGGGGGCATATTTCAGTATCATGTTCAATAGTAATAGCACCCCCACTCTCTTTTTTTTCCAATGATTGTTTGGCCACAAAAAAATTGTCTTTTGAATCTAATTTTAATTTTTGGTTTAACTCTTTAATGATATCCAGCGTAATTATTTCGTCATCTCGCTCAAAAGCATAGCGTTCACAAAGTGGTTTGCTTAAACCTTCGGTCGAACCTCAATATTTTTTTGGTTGGCCTAATTCCACAAAATCGCTATTTTCGGCAATCTTAACCTTGTCTAAATATGGTTGAACTTTTTGAATTTTGGCTTCTAATTCTTGTTTTTGTTTTTGAATTTCAGATTTTTGATTATCATCAATATTTTTCGTTTTTAATTTTTCATCACACTTTTCAATCTCATCTTTCATTGTGTTTACATATTTTTCTAGAAAAATTCCTAATTCTTTTATTTCTTTATCTAATTTTGGCATATTTTATTAATTAATTATTATAGATGTTTGATATACTTGTTGTATACTTAATGTTAATGTTTAATTTTTCTTTTTACCCAATCCTTTTATTTTTTTTTACGCAAATTCTAAATAAAACCCTATAAAACTTCCACATGCTTCTTTTCACACTAATCTGCCTCTAAAAAATACTGCATCTTTTTTAAGTTTAGGTTCTATGTGCATGCCATTCTTTTTCTAGTATTTTATTTGATTATTGATTTCCCATATTGTTCATAAATTATTTAGATATTTTTGTTGCTTTACTAATTCCTAAACATCATTAGCCGTCATTATTTTTAGTGAATGAATATGTGTGTTTGTCATGGTGATATGATATTTTTTATCCATATGTCTTTAATCTATATTACTATATTTTACTCATATAGGCATTATCATTCGCCTATATGTTAATTTTATAAAGTTTTAAGTTCTAAACGCAATTTTTATAGATAATGGAGGGAACTATGTATGCTTTTTTTAATGTAAAATTATTTTATGAACGAAGAAAAAAGTATCTATCCCGCTTCCTATCTAGACCGCCTTAATAACCTGATTACTAATCATTTTAACCACCTTTGCCCCATTAAAAAAGATTTCCACTTAACTTTGTCCGGAATATCCCGTCTGGTCATGCTGGACCGCTACTCTCAAAAAGATAAAGAACGAAAAACTTTACAAATAGGAGATATAGTTCTGACTGTAATTAAACCGGACCCAAAATTCCCCAGCCGAGGTATTGGCAAGTTAATCGCCCGAATTAACGAGAATAATGTTGCCTATTGAGTAATAGAAATTGAAGAAGAATTTGCCGCCAATATTGACTCTGACCTGATGTATCAAGAACATCCACGACAAATAATCAAGCCCGATTTTGCTGTAGAAAAGCCTCTGGAACTATACTACGAGCAGATTGCCTGAAGAGTGGCCCGCACCATGGCTAATCAAGAAAAAGAAGAAAAATTGCGAGAAAAATATTTTCACGCTTTCTACGAGCAAATAAAAAATTTCAAAATTGTGCCGGCTGGTCGGATACTCCATGGTTCCGGCAGCCAAAATAAAGTTACTTATTTTAATTGCTATGTCATGCCTTACATTCCCGATTCACGCAAGGGAATTGCCCGCCACCGGGAAGAAGTAATGGAAATCATGTCCCGAGGAGGTGGCGTTGGCAGTAATGGAAGCACTTTACGACCCAAGGGGGCACTGGTTCAAAGTGTAGGAGGTAGGTCCAGTGGGGCGGTTTCTTGACTCAACGATTTGTCTTTATTGACTAATTTAGTAGAACAAGGCGGCTCTCGACGGGGCGCCCAAATGATTATGTTGGCCGATTGACACCCGGACATTGTTGAATTTATTGTTGCCAAAGTCCAAAATCCTCATGTTTTAACTTGATTAATGACTAATACCCAAGACAATTTAATTAAGCAGGAAATTAAAAATAAATTAGAATTAGTGAAATTGCCAGAGCACGAGGAGCAAATGATTAAATTTTTTTTGGCAAATAATTCGGATAAAGCGGCCGAGGCTAAATTACAAGAAAAATTAATCAATCAAGGGCAGTGGAAAGCGAGAAATCCGGATTTTTTGGCTGGGGCCAATATTTCGGTTTGCCTTTCCGATCGCTTTATGGCGGCTGTCAAAAACGATGAAGATTGAGATTTAGTTTTTCCCGACCTGGCTAATTACTCGCCAGCCGAAAAAGAAGTTTATGACCGCGAATGGTCGCAAGTGGGTGAGGCTTATGAATGAGAACAAAAAGGGTATAAATTGAAAAAATATTATACCATTAAGGCTCGGGAATTGTGAAATTTAATTATCTTTTGTGCCACTCATTCGGCTGAACCAGGGATATTTTTCTTTGATCGGGCTAATCAATTTACTAATGTGAAAGGTTACGGACAAAAAGTAGTTGCTACTAATCCGTGCGGAGAACAACCGCTTGCTCCTTATTCGGTTTGTAATTTAAGTGCTGTCAATTTGGCCTCTTTTGTGGATAAAAAGACCTCGCAAATCAAGTGGGATGAATTGCGAGAAACGGTAGAAAATTGTATTCGGTTCCAAGATAATATTATTGACGCCAGTTATTATTTTCTAGAAAAAAATACTATTCAGGCCCAAGGAGAAAGGAGGATTGGTTTGGGAGTCATGGGATTACATGATTTTTTGATTTATGCTGGTTTAAGATACGGCTCGCCAAAGGCTAATTTACTAGTAGACAAATTGTTTGAGACCATTTGCCGAACCGCTTATGAGACTTCAATCGCACTAGCCCAGGAAAAAGGTTCTTTTCCTTTTCTGACTGATAAAAATAATTTAGTGGAAAAATCGGCTTTCATTCGCTCTTTGCCAAGTGATATTCAAGAAAAAATTAGAAAATATGGTCTGCGAAATTCCCATTTATTAACTGTGGCTCCGACGGGTAGCACCGGGACTTTGGTGGGGGTTTCTACGGGTTTAGAGCCTTATTTTGCTTTTTCTCATTATCGTTCGGGAAGGCTGGGAAAATGAATTAAAGTTGATTATCCGATAGTTAATGAATGATTGAAATTTCACCCCAAATACAGTACCGATAATTTACCAGATATTTTTGTTTCCGCCATGGAATTAACGCCCGAGGAACATGTTGATATTCAATGTATCATTCAACGCTGATTGGATGGCTCAATCTCTAAAACCATTAATGCTCCTTGTGGATACAGTGTCGCCCAAGTTAAAAAAATCTACGAGCGGCTTTATAACAAAGGAGCAAAAGGAGGAACGGTTTATGTTGACGGCAGCCGTGATTTTCAAGTGCTTAGTTTGGAAAAAAACGATAATCAGTTTGCCGAATTAAAGAAAAAAGACCAATGTCATACTTGCGGTGAGGGGGAATTGATTTGAGCTAATGGTTGTCAGACTTGTAGTAATTGTCAATTACAAGTTAAATGTGATATTTAAATTAAACGCAACAATTTAGCCTTTTTTCCTCTTTTTCGCTTTTTTAAATACTACTAGACTAGTTTTATGATTATCACTCCAATTATTCCTATAATGGTAA